TGCAATGCACCCAGCCGGTCTTTCACCTATATTGACTCGGGTAATGGCATACTCTTTTATCTCATCTTCAGGTTTGTCCCTCCAGAGAAATCTGTGTAGGTGCATCTCACGTTCCTCCAGCCACACTGAATTATACATTTTCTTGATGTCACCCAGAGCTCCATGAACACCTCTTCTGAACCTCGGGAGAACAGCTCTGATTGGATTGAGTACATCTGGTCCTTTCAGCAGAAGATCATTCATACTCATTCCCTTGAACTTCTGGCTGCTGTTCCACACCAGGCGTACTGGAGTCGTCACTGAGTGAGGGTTCGGCGCCACCAAGTGGCTAACATACCACACGGGTCCTTTCCAATTTCTCATGGCTTCTTCAGTAAGTTCAATGGCTGCACCTCGCTCAATCATTTCATGGACCTGGGCCGTATAAGCAGCTTTCCACTCTGGTTCTCTTCCTAGCTGCCTCTCTGTTCTTAAGAATGTGGTCTCTACTGCCCTTTTGTTGTTGGGGAGTGAAGAAGGGTCCTCTGTCCATGGATATTTCGCATCCCAGTGTGGAGATTTTACATGAGCATCTTCTCTGACGTAGGTCAGTCCTCCCTTTATAATTTCAAGCTCTTTCTCCTCTGCTAGGGTCATTTCTTTACCTCCGGGCTGGCAGTTTCCACACCAGCATCCTCCACACCTTGGCTCGCAGGCTGCTCCAATGCTCGCCCACCTCCACCATTCAAGAAACTCATGGTTGGTAGTGGTTGTAAACTTTGCACTGGCCACCTCTTCAGTCCGCAGTAAGGTTTCTTCAGCCTTCAAGTCTCTGATAATTTCTTCATATTTGACCGCAGCTGTCCTCATGGAGCGAGCAAAGTGGGTTTTTGACTCATGTGCTGCTATCTCCACATCCTCAAAAAGGTCAGGGTGTGCTCCGCCCACTGTTTTCCCCAATGGACTCTCCCATAAAACAAGGTCTCCAACCACCCTCATCCTCTGTGGAGCAAGTCTTCCCTCTCTATGGCTGATTAGAAGCTCAATTTCTTCTGGCCTCCTCAACTCCTCTGCCTTGACCTCTGGGAAGAACTTCTTTAACTTTTCAGGTCCAATCACTTTGTGCACTTTGGCAATTTCATCCAGCCCGTAACACACTAGCTCGTGGGCTACCTCTTTACCTTCAGCCGTCTTAATCCGTACTCTAAGGAGATATCTTTCTGTGTTTACCTTCATAGTCATACCGCCCACACCATGTACAACTAAGGTCACCTTCTCGCTCCGTAACCTCAGCCTGTCAGCAGCCTTGTGGGTAATGTAGTTTGTGTCAGATGCAAGGTCCATCAAAGTCCCAATCTTCTGACCTGCATTTGCAGTGACCTCCATCAGCATCATGATGACAGGAAGTTCACAGAGCCCATTCCTCTCCAAAAGCTCAGACTGTTCTTTTCCACAGGTGGTCGTTCTTGCAGTGTTATTGGTAAAAGCTTTTCTGCACCTCTCTGCCATTGCTGGGGAAAGTTCAGCCAAGAAACTCTCCTGTTCGTCTGTCAGTTTGCTTTTACCTCTGCTGCCAGTTCCACTCTCCAACCCATCGCTCCTCCTACAGTCTCCTCTTGGGCAGAGAAAGTAATGATGACTTGAGGTGCCTTCTTTTTTACAGTCTTTGTTCCTGCATAGGAAGGTGTCTCTACAATAATCATCATCATCATGGCACCCAAGGCATCGTCTGCAGGCTCCCAGTTTCTTCAGAGCAGCTCTCTTTTCATGGAGTTTTAATCCCTTGAACTTTTTACAGAAGAAAATCTTGTCACTGTGCCTCCCATCACCGCATACAACACACACGTCGTCCAGCACTTTCTTTGTGGTTCTTGTGGAGGCATATTTTCTCTCATACTTCTTCATTGTATGATGGTCTGGCTTCTCAGTCTTCTCTACAACATTAAGCTGCTCAAGCCTCTCAAGGATCTCTTCTTGATTTTTCAGGAATTTCAGTAATGCATCAAAGTGGTTGTCTTGAGTGACCTTATTGCTTGGTTCCACCATGAAGATTAACCAGTCTCTTTTAACAAAGTCAGGTAGTTTGCTCTCTATTGCTTTAATTACAAGTGGGTTCTTTATTGCACCAGAATTTCCCAGCTCTGTTAGATCTGCCAAGGCTTTTTCAACAGACTGTATCAGGTCGATGACTTTCCTCGGCTGGTTGCCCTTCACAGGGGGGATTTTCTGTAGTTCTTCTAGGATCTCTATGGTGATGGTCGACTTATTCCCATACCTGTTTTCCATGACTCTGAACATTTCTTCAGCAGTGCTGTACGTTGACAGTTTGAGATCCTTCAACATCTTGTCATCAACACTGTTCAGAAGTTGAATTTTCTTTACCTCAGCTGATCCAGATGGCTCTCCTTGTCGTTGAAGGCTTTCCCAGTCTTTCCTCCATCTATAATAATCTCTCTGTTGGCTTAATTTTCACAATAGCTGCTGCAGGTGGTAACGGTGTTCTGTCCCTCCCAAAAGAAGCTTCTGCAGCTCGTTCTTCTTCTGCAACCCTCCGTGCAATTACAAAATCATCTCTCCTCAGCTGAAGCCTGCTGCTGTTTTCTTTCTGATTTTTAATTCTGGCATCTAGGTCCCTTCTCTCTTCCACAGGAATCCATCGCTCCCAGGCTGACATTATTCTGGTGGCCTTATGTATCTTCTTTTCCAGGAGAGTCAGGTGCACTTCATAGGCCTCTAGGTTTGTACCTTCAACAGGTAAATTACCTGCATGGTCGCCACTTCTTTCTGCTTCCAGGATTGCTGTGGTGAGCTCATATTGACCATATCTTGACCACAGGTTTACTTGAACAATGTCCTTCAATTCTTTAAACCTTGCTTCAGCTTCATTTACAGTTCGCTCGATGTCGCCTTCTAGTGCCTCTCCGAGATCTGGTTCTTCTTTTGTTGTCTCAGCCACCAGTCCCATCCTGTAGTCATCATTAGCCTCAATAATTTTCTTGAAGTAATCAGAGAGTTTGTTGAATTTCTCCTTTAGTTCATCTTCAACCATGCTGCTCGCCCCTTTGCCAAGGATGTTTGCATGCCTGGTGAAACTGCTTTTAGCAGCGGTCCTCTCTCTCTTGAGCTGTTTAACCGTCTTTCCCAGGATATCTTCTGCCAGCTTGGCTTCAAGGACACATGGAGCTTTTAACCTCTGCGTCTGCAGCTCTTGCCTGGATCTCTGAAGCCCTTTATCTTCCTGTCCACGCTGCACAACTGGTTATCAACTGTCGAGTTATTTCGGTCACAAACTTCATTGTCCGCCTAAACCCAGCTCGGCATTGACGACCACAGAGGACGCTGGTTAGCTTCACTCATTTCCATTTTTTATTTCATTTTTTCAGAAAGGAATCAGGCTGAGTGGTCAATAGTTGATAACCTTAAAAGAAAGAAACACACACAAACCCATATTAATTAATTAATTAATTAATCTATCAACAACCATTTAACATCCCAACATAACATAACTCAAATTGGCAATTACAATTTAATCCTTTGAATATAGTTGAAACTGTCTCAACCTACCAGTGGCGTCTCTGCGGTCATCAGCACAATGAACAAAGGAAACACACCTGCCCAGGACCCACTAATGAAGCCTTCTTCTCTTCTTCAGCCCTGAGCTGACACCNCTGCGGTCATCAGCACAATGAAGAACAAAGGAAACACACCTGCCCAGGACCCACTAATGAAGCCTTCTTCTCTTCTTCAGCCCTGAGCTGACACCGACTCACTCAAAAATGGCAGCACTGCCCTCTTGCTGCTAGTAAAAAAAAATTGAACTATAGGTGAAAAATTAAATGAACAAATAAATACATATGCACACAGCATAATCTAATTCATAACTTAACACCTCCCACTTGACCTCCTGGTTAACAAACCCAAGGAGGTCATGACAGTCTTTCAAGTTCTTGCTGTTCTTCAATGGGAAGCAGAATCACCAAGCGTCTGACGTCCCTGTGCAGGATTGTAGCAGGAATTTTACTTGAAAGCATTTCTCGTCCAGTAGATCCTTCTCCTGACGTTGACCTTTTGATTGGGACAGGGTAGCTGGGAAAGATCCTTACGTTTATATCTCTCACAATGCCTTTCTCGTCAACATTTACACTGACCACTCTGGCCACCTTGTATTGATTCCTCAGCGCGTTTTGGTCAGCCAGCCAAACCACATCACCCACAGCAACATTTCGCATTTTGGTGTGCCACTTGCTCCTTATGAAAAGGTTAGGGCCTGCTAACTGGCACCACTTTTTCCAAAATTTATCTACCTCTTCCTGGATAATTTGGAGTCTTCTGTATGGATAACCTTTAAACTGGAAGTCTCCTGGGTCCCCTTTTGGCCCGGCTCGTCCCAACAGAAGAGAATTTGGGCTGATGTATTCCACACAGTCCTCCAGGCTCTGTACTCTTGCATCTATAGGCCTTTCATTCACCAGATTTGCCGCCATGAAGAGGAAAGTCTGGAATTCTCCCCACTTGAGGCTTCCATCACCGCCAAGGTTGCTTAGGGCTCGCTTCACAAGCTTGACTGCTGCTTCTGCTGCCCCATTTCTATGGGGTGACCCTGCAGGATGGAATTTCCAAGACCACTCTGTTCCATGCTTGGAAGCCTGCTCTTCAATCTCAGTCTTGTTCAACTTACCTAGAAATTTTTGAAGCTCTTCAAGTGCAGGCTTGGCCCCCACAAAGTTTGTGCCAGGATCTGACCACAGTTTTCTGGGGTGTCCTCTGAGTGCAGTAAATCTCTGATAAGCAAGCAGAAACCCTTCAGATGACTGGTCACTGACAACATCAGTGTGCACTGCTCTCGAAGCCATGCAGCAAAACACAATGCCCCAGATTTTGAGTGTGATTCTTTTCCTCACTTCATCTTTTACCTTATATGGCCCAAACAGATCCATTGTTGTAAATTCAAACGGGTAAGCTGGGGTTGTTCTCTCAGGTGGAAGGTCACTCATGATCTGTTCACACTGTTTTGCTCTGATTTTCCTGCAGACCACACAGCTGTCAACCACTTGCTTCGCGAGTCTTCGACCTTTTGACACCCAGGCTCTTTTCCTCATCCTGAGAAGGGTTCCTGCTACACCTTCATGATTAGCTTTATGGGCTTCTCGTGCTATCAGTGTTGACACCCAAGCTTTGTATGGTATAATTGGAACAGCAGTTTTGTGTTCATTAAACAGTTGGCTCCTGCCACCACAGACTAAGAGTCCAGATGAAACATCTTTGTACACTACAAGCCTGTTTAAAGCTGCGTCTAGAAAGGTGACACCTTCTTGTGTACCAAGAAAGAGGTCGTTGAGGGCATCTTCCCGTTCCTTCACTGTCAAGACAGTTAGCTTGCCTTTCACCTGCCTTTGGCCATGTTTTTTCATCTCCAGCCACTTCTTGGCAGCTCGATGCACCCAGGCAATGACATTTATCAGTTTGGACAGGCTACTGAATCTTTCTACCTGTATGAGGTTCTTACTCCAGCCAGCAGGTGGTGTTGTTTCAGCAATACAGGTTGAGTTCACTCCCTTTTTAATCTCCGCCTCCAAACTTTCCTGTGAGGCCTGCAGGTCACTGTTCTTCTCTCTTTGCTTTGCTTGAGCTCTGGTTGCTGCTGCTGTGAAGGCTTTTCTCTGAAGTTTGTTCACACCATCTCTGGCCAGTGCTGCAATCTCTCCACCTGACTTCATGGGCCACTCTTCCAGTGGCCACCTCAGAAACTCTGGCCCATTTTGCCATGTGGAATCTCCTCTGAGTTCTTCAAGAGAGCTTCCTCTTGTTATGATGTCAGCAATATTTAGTTTTCCAGGAATCCACCATCAGTCTTCCACTGGTCCAGCCTTCTGGATCTCACCAACGTGGTTTACGAAAAAGCTTTGGTACCCATAACTCTCTCTTTGGATGGCCCCCAAGACTGTTTGACTGTCCACTAAATGAATCCAGCGCTCCACTTCCATTCTACTATGCTTCTCAAAATATTTTCTGATTCTGGCTGCAAAGACCGCACCACAGATCTCAGCTTTGACTGCATCTCCTTTTTGATCCAATGGTGTCAGCTTGGCTTTGGATTCAACAAATCTGACATCAATTCCAAGGCTGGTGTCCCACCTTAAATACAGCACAGCTCCATAGGTCTTACGCTCCCATTGAAAAGGTAATTCCCCATGGTTTCCCTCTCCAGTCAGCTGGTGTGAGGCTCCGGCAGAATTTAATTTGTCCAAGCTCTACATACTCTTCAAAAAGCTTAATGGCGTCTTCCCTGAGGCTTTCTCAGAGTGGTTTATCCCAGGTTTCTCGTGTCAGTTTTCCACCTCCTGTTTCTTGGAATGCCTTCCTCACAAGGATCGCCCCCCTCTGTTTGGCAGGTGTTACTAAGCCGATCGGGTCATAAAGTCCTGCTACTTGGCTTAGCAGCTCCCTTCTAGTCAGTGGATCAGGTGTTCCTGCTCTTACCTCTTCTTTCTGAAGGTCCTTCCCCAGTCTCATCATCTTTTTCCTTTTGGAAAAATTGATTGAGGTCATCTTGTAAAGCTTGTCTTCTTCCACTTGATATCCAATTCCCAGGGCTTTGTTGTCTTCATCCCTCATCTGATTTGGAAGAATGATGGTTTTACTTTTTTCTTCTGCCTCTCTTCCTTTCAGAGTCTTTTGCCTCCCACTTTGCCCTGTCCGGACCCATGGTTTCAGAAAAAAGCCTCCAGCTTTCAGAATCTCCTCCACCCCTTCTGTGATTTTGTTCAGTTTCTCCAGGCTGTTATTGGAAGTAAGGATGTCGTCTACATAACTGTCCTCCTCCAGGACCCTGCGCTCCTCTGTCAGGTGAGAAAAGATGGGCAGAGTTGCTGTCTCTCGCATAGCTAACTGTGCAATGCACCCAGCCGGTCTTTCACCTATATTGACTCGGGTAATGGCATACTCTTTTATCTCATCTTCAGGTTTGTCCCTCCAGAGAAATCTGTGTAGGTGCATCTCACGTTCCTCCAGCCACACTGAATTATACATTTTCTTGATGTCACCCAGAGCTCCATGAACACCTCTTCTGAACCTCAGGAGAACAGCTCTGATTGGATTGAGTACATCTGGTCCTTTCAGCAGAAGATCATTCATACTCATTCCCTTGAACTTCTGGCTGCTGTTCCACACCAGGCGTACTGGAGTTGTCACTGAGTGAGGGTTCGGCGCCACCAAGTGGCTAACATACCACACGGGTCCTTTCCAATTTCTCATGGCTTCTTCAGTAAGTTCAATGGCTGCACCTCGCTCAATCATTTCATGGACCTGGGCCATATAAGCAGCTTTCCACTCTGGTTCTCTTCCTAGCTGCCTCTCTGTTCTTAAGAACGTGGTCTCTACTGCCCTTTTGTTGTTGGGGAGTGAAGAAGGGTCCTCTGTCCATGGATATTTCGCATCCCAGTGTGGAGATTTTGCATGAGCATCTTCTCTGATGTAGGTCAGTCCTCCCTTTATAATTTCAAGCTCTTTCTCCTCTGCTAGGGTCATTTCTTTACCTCCGGGCTGGCAGTTTCCACACCAGCATCCTCCACACCTTGGCTCGCAGGCTGCTCCAATGCTCGCCCACCTCCACCATTCAAGAAACTCATGGTTGGTAGTGGTTGTAAACTTTGCACTGGCCACCTCTTCAGTTCGCAGTAAGGTTTCTTCAGCCTTCAAGTCTCTGATAATTTCTTCATATTTGACCGCAGCTGTCCTCATGGAGCGAGCAAAGTGGGTTTTTGACTCATGTGCTGCTATCTCCACATCCTCAAAAAGGTCAGGGTGTGCTCCGCCCACTGTTTTCCCCAATGGACTCTCCCATAAAACAAGGTCTCCAACCACCCTCATCCTCTGTGGAGCAAGTCGTCCCTCTCTGTGGCTGATTAGAAGCTCAATTTCTTCTGGCCTCCTCAACTCCTCTGCCTTGACCTCTGGGAAGAACTTCTTTAACTTTTCAGGTCCAATCACTTTGTGCACTTTGGCAATTTCATCCAGCCCGTAACACACTAGCTCGTGGGCTACCTCTTTACCTTCAGCCGTCTTAATCCGTACTCTAAGGAGATATCTTTCTGTGTTTACCTTCATAGTCATACCGCCCACACNTGACATCAATTCAGTACCAGCAGGTGTGGCAACTTCATGAGAGAACAACACGACAGTCTGAAAAACATTCTGGGTTAGACTAATTTTTTAAAGACGTAATTTCAGTCCTGAACCAGCCCATATGTAAGCGAATGTTAAACTTTAGATGTAACACAGTTACTCTGGATCTGTGCCCGAAGATTATGCTTGAAAACTGAAAGCAACACCACAACTGCAGCCTTAGGATTAATAAATAGCTTTAAATGATTCCACAGCTGTTTGAGGTGTCAAAAAAATCTGCTTTTTCAAATGTTGGACCTGAGTGCTGCCTTTGACACAATGGATCATACAATTCTTTTAAACAGACTTCAAAACCGCATTGGCATCTCTGGTACTGTTTTTAACTGGAATAAGACATATCTAAATGGCAGGAAATTTTATGTTAGCACTGGGGAACGCTCATCAAGAACCTATGACATGGAATGTGGCGTTCCCCAGGGCTCGATTTTAGGCCCCGCACTTTTTAATCTATATGTGTTACCATTAGGAGACGTCATCAGGAGACATGACATTAGCTGTCACAGCTATGCTGATGACACACAGCTCTACATGGCCGTGTCTCCTGATGACACAGGGCCCATTGATGCCCTTTCTAACTGCATCTTAGACGTCCAGTCCTGGATGGCAGACAACTTCTTGCAACTCAACCAGGACAAAACTCAGGTTTTAGTCATTGGTACAGGTCCAGAGAGAGAGAAACTGGAGAACAAACTTCAAGCACTGTCTTTTAATCCCTGTAAACAAGTGAAAAACTTGGGAGTTACATTTGATTTTTACCTCAGCTTTGAGCCACTCATCCAAGATGTTAACAAAAAGGCTTTTTATCATCTTAAGAACATCTCCAGAGGGCGCCAGTTTCTCTCTCAAGCCAACGCAGAGACTCTTATCCATGCGTTTATTACTTGCAGAATTGATTATTGTAATGCTCTCCTCTCTGGTCAAAGAACATTTCACAGCTTCAGCTGTTGCAAAATTCAGCTGCACGCATGCTGACGAAGACCAGAAGGACAGCTCATATTACACCAATTTTAAAATCTCTACATTGGCTTCCTGTATCTTTTAGAATAGATTGTATAATTGTTTTGTTAGTTTATAAATCTCTCAATGGTCTTGGACCTTCTTATTTATCTGATGTGCGTTTATCATATGAGCCCAGTAGAGCCATCAGGTCTTCAGGCAGTGGTCTTTTAATCGTCCCCAAAGTGAAAACCAAAACGTATGGTGAGGCATCATTTCACTATTATGGCCCCCGTCTGTGGAACAGTCTACCTGAAGACCTGAGGGCAGCACCTACTGTTCATATTTTTAAAGGCAAACTCAAGACCTACCTTTTTAATCTGGCTTTTAGCTGATTTTGGTTTTGTTCTTTTCGCCTCTCTTTTAGTCTACTCCTTTAATCTTATGTATTTGACTCCACTTAAGTCTCAGAGTTACTATTTTATGTTTTAACACTTATCATTTATTTTCTTTCATAGTTTGGTTTTAAACAGTTCTTTTTAAAAAATTTTTTAACTTTTAGCATTTTTTTGGTTTTTTTTATATCTTATGATTTTATCATGTTAGCTTTTGCTCCTGTGTTTCCCCATTTTAATTCAAGATAGCGTTTCCTCGGTCCTCTGTGGCTTCCTGTGGAGACCTGACTTGGTGTCCCTGTGTGTGCGTCTGTGTGCGTGTGTCTGTGTGTGTGTGTGTGTGCGAGTGGCATTCTGTGTTAAATGGGGGCTGGGAGGGTGGGTGGTGTTTTGTATTTGATTTTGTATTTTATTTTGTATCCCCTAACCCCTTCTGATTGTGTTCTGCAATGTACAGCACTTTGTGATGCATGTCATGTATGAATAGAGCTTTATATACAAAGTTTGATTTGATTTGATTTGAAATGTACAATATGTATAAACCATAAAGCATAAAAGTCAAGCAAAGTTTGATCTAAAGTGTATTTAAGTACAGGAGCTGAGGAAATGTGCAGCTTTCTTACTTTCCAAGCACTGCCGACTCTCAGGGTGAGACAGCTGCCACACCTAGTGGTGCAGCAGCAGTAACGCCTGCATTCTTAAAGCCATTCCTTTATACTGAAGTCACATGTTTCCTCCCTGTAAAAACATGTCTA